CACAGACAACCCCGTGACAATATGCGTTTTGTACTGCTGTTACACAGCACAAAACACATAAAAAAAAAATAGAAAATGTTGTCACCAGTCCGTTCTTAATAAAGCAAGTGAGGAAACTACGATATGAAATGTTTTAGTGGAGCAATGTCTCAGTCTGATGACGGAACTCGATGATAACACCGAAGAATGGCTGAACTGCGATAATGCTGATGATGAGAACGGAGAAGAGTATGTGATTTTTTTTTTTTTGGGAATCGTTCCTTTTCTCAAATAGACTTTGAAATGTGGTTTGCGCCACAGCGTTGCTACAGCGAACAAAAACGCATATTATCGAAAGCTCATCTGTGTGTGTTTCGGGGGCGAGTGAATTTCGTCACCCACTTTCAACTTAGCAATCAGGAAAGCTGGGAAGCTGAAATTTTGGGGTCATATTCCTGCCCCGTGTATTATCCTTCCGTTTTAAAATCTTCGTTCATACACGCAAAGATCTCGCGCACAAACCTCCGGAAAAGTATGCAGGTTTCTTTGAGGGAAAGAGCAAGGGAGGGGGAACAATCTCGAGAACCAGAGAAGATGGAAAACCGAAACTTTGCGGGGGTGTTCTCTGCGCAAGTGTGAGCTTCAAATTCAACTATTGCATATGTTTTCGCTCGTGCGATCATGCCAAGGTTCACAGTTGGCACTGTGTTAACTCGAAAACTAGCCGAAAACAGTAGCTGAAAATTTGTCGAAATATTTGTTGTTCGTATGGAAATTGAGTTTCAACTTGCACTTGCACCACAACTTAGGACACTTCAAAGGTATTTCTAGCAAGTGGCTGCTTCATTTACCAGACAAACTGCGAAGCTAAAAGTGTGCAGGACTATTTTATATTCATGTTTGGTCTTAATTCAGTTTGTAAGTGAAATTCCATGCACACAGACACAAAAAATATATTTAGTTTTATCGCAAACTTGAAAGCGAGTGCATTTTGCAGTTTTCATAATCCTCTTCAGACTTTCTTCAAGTTTGCACTGTTCTTTGAGAAAACATTCACCGAAAAAACGACCAAGCTTCATGCAGAAAACTGATAGTTGGCATGGTGAGGTCCATGCGGCCTCTTAATTCATCCCAGTCAACCTTATTCTGCATGCAATAAATCTGCACACACACACACACACACACACACACATAAATACATACGCACACATATGTGCCTAAACTTTTTTCATACCTTTCTCCCTTTGTACTGCTGTCACTTTTGCTCTGTGTTTTTCAGCAGTGCTGGTATCGGCGAATCGTCACTGGACCGTATCGCATGCAGTTTGGGTGGATTTGTGCTGGATCCATTCCTGCCGACTGTGCTGCGCCTCATGCAGGATGGTATGTCTTTATTGCTTTTATTTGTCTTTTTTGGAATTTAGAACTATTGCTCGGGGCCATCAAATCCATCAGCTAACTTTCAGTGAGTAACTGGAAAAATCGTTATGCTGCAATTATGGCAATTTCGACGATTGGTGAGGGCTGCAAGCGACAGATGGAGCCGATTATCGTGAAAATCGTCAACGATATCCTACGTTATCTGGTCGATCCGGTACGTACATTGCTGGCATATTCCTTTTGTTTTTGAATTTTTTGTTGGAATTTTTGATATCATGTGGCGATAGTGTTTGAGTACGACTTCTCAACGTTTCTATTGTATTTTCAGCATCCACGCGTTCGATATGCCGCTTGTAATGCACTGGGTCAAATTTCAACGGATTTCGCGCCAACAATGCAGAAAAAATGTCATGAAAAAGTCAGATTTTATTTTTTTTCTAGAAAGAAAGTGTACCGACATAGCTAATTTTGCACTTACAGAGGGGAGAGGGGGAATCCTGGACTGTGGTTTCCTCATGTTTTGTTGTTCACTGACTTGTGTCTCTGTACTTTGTCCCTTTAAAATTTCAGCTTTCTAGCTTCTCAGATTCTCGAGTTATGAACTTACCCGAAAAAAATTTTGTCGGTCCCGTACGCGGGTACCACACTTGCCCGGGAGCTGGGTTTGTGCACATTTAGAATTACGTGAGCGAGAAGCATCCCCTTAAAATTTCTTGGATGATAACTAATTACTGGTGCACGTTAGGAAGTCAAAATCGCCACCAGCTTGCTTCTAAACAGCCCTCGAAAATGAAATTTTCTAAAAGCTTTTGCCAGTTGCTACCTGTCGAGCTTCCTTCGAGTGCTCCAAACTTCTCTTAGACGGTCAGTATGATGGGGAAAGGAGGTCTACATTTTGGCTGAAGGAATCACATACGTACTTTTGTTTTCCCTCAGTGATTTCGAGTTTTGGCAGATCCCTCGTTTTGTGTATCTGTTGGACTCAACTCAGAACTTCCGCTGTAGCCCTGTCGACCCCGTTCACCTCCAATCTTCGTTTTGTAAGGCATTCTAATCAGTTTTCAACGGGAAATGAAGCGGGCGCTTGTATCTTCGTGCATTTTTTCAGGTTGTTAATGGCCTGTGCGGTCTTATGATTGACTTGCGTTGCCCCCGTGTTGCGGCTCATGCAGGCGCTGCTCTGGTGAATTTCAGTGAAGATTGCCCAAAAAGTATTATCACCATTTATCTGCAGCAAATGATGGAGAATCTGGAATTTGTCCTGGAACACACTTTCAAACAGGTATTTTTTCTGTTGGCATTTGGTTTGGTGCAGTGAAGTTGGATTTTCGCTCAGGGTGTTTGATTTCGCCCCTTGGTAGACTGATATTGCTTTTCTTTGCTGGTTCTGTTCAGTGGAAATTGCTACTGGCGCGTTGCCAGGAAGTCAAGAACCTAAGGAACTTCTGAAAAATAAATGGCCAACGCACGGGCTGCCCGTGCA